TTGATCATGATCTGCGTGCTTTGCAATGGGCTTGCACTTACAGCATCCCACAGTCACTGTTGGGGGCAATATGCTGATTCTGTAAACTGCATAGAGAGCTCTGTAAGGCATTGTGAAGTGCTATATAAGTCTAAGAGCTATTACTATTGTTATCACCATTTGCAAACTTGTTTGCAAGTTGCTGCTGTAAGTCACTTGCATTCTCACTCACCAGGCAACAGCCATTTACCTGCCTGCCGGTATGCTTGCAACTCACCTGGAACCCATTTAACAATAGAAAAGGGAATGTTGGGATTGCTGTCACTAAGTGATATGGTCGTGTGACATCATACTTTATGACCGAATCACTTAGTAACTGAAATTGTATTCCCAATTATCTTAGTTAAGAGAAGACTACCTTTACAGAATGTATCAAGGCTTTGTTCCTCTTTGGTGGTTATCCCACAAGTTATATTCCATTATCATCATTTCAATGATATACAGGATGCAAGACAGGGGTGGGTTCCTGCCGGTTCTCACCTGTTCGCTAGCGGAAGTTCCAGAAATCTAGCGAGCCGTTTAGAACTGGCTCCACTGGTGGAACCGGCCCTGCCCCCTCGCTCGCTCACCCCCACCCATCCAGAGGCCGCTCATTCACTCACTCAGCCCCGCCCATCTAGAAGCCGCTCCACTGCACACTCCCTCGCCCGTCCGCACTATGCTAGTGCTGCCTGCCGCTCACTGATTGGCTGGAGTCGCCCTGCCCGCCTCTAACAGCCCGTTCAAAAGCGCGGCGCAACAGCCCACTTACCACTTTTCAAAAGAGTCTTTTTTCAAAAGAGTCCTTTGAAAAGAGTCTTTATCTGTTTGGCCGTTGCTTAGTCGCTTACTGATCGGGTCCTGGATTTCTTCACTTTGCTTCGCCTTCCAGCAGATTGCTGCTTCACTCAGGTAAGCAACTAAGCACTGGGGTGGCGGCGGTGACAGTCTGCGGTACGCGAGACTGGGGCCTTCCTTTGCGAAACCCGTGGCCTCGCGTACATCTCGTGGTTGGGTGGGAGTGGCACCAGCAGCAGCCTGCGTTCTTTGTGCAGGCCATTCATTGGAGTCAGTGATACTGAAGACTGGCAAGGACAGTCGTCTTCCTTCTGTAAGTAGCTCTTTTATTGTTTTTGCACTTATTTTATTCTTATATAAGTAGTAAGTGCACAAAATAATAAATTTCCTTTTTTATATCTTTTTGTAGGTCATTCATTGGGGCAAAAAATTCAGTGACATCGTCTTGGTCACTCCCACCCAGTCACATGGCTGGCAAGCCACTCCCACCTCATCACATGGCCAGCAAGCCACTCCCATCCAGTCACATGACTGTCAAGCCACTCCCACCTGGTCACATGGTTGGCAAGCCACTCCCACCTCATCACATGGCCAGCAAGCGACTCCCATCCAGTCACATGACTGCTAAGCCACTCCCATCCAGTCACATGACTGTCAAGACACTCCCACCTGGTCACAGGGCTGGCAAGCCACTCCCACCCACTCACTTGGCTGGAAAGCCACTCCCACAAAGCAGGCCACACCTGCAGAAGAGGTTCCAAAATATTTTGAAACCCACCACTGATGCAAGATCAACATGCATCTCTACACTTCGGTCATAAGTAACAAATTTCTTGCATTAATGTATGGCACTGAAAAGCAAGGTGCTAAAATCCAGCGAAAAGGCAAGTCAGAAAGCTATCTCGTACAGATCATACAGATTAACAGGGTTGGAAGGGACCTTGTAGGTCATCTAGTCCAACCCCCTGCCCAAGCAGGAGATCTTACACCAATTCTGACAAATATCTCCAAGAGCTTGGTGAAAGGATAGGCCATATATAGAAATAAGAATCAGCTAGCAAAATTCTGGCCCCTCGTTTAATTTATGAAATACATTCCACCCTTTCTTCCAGTCAATAGTTTGAATGCAAATCTCACTTTCCTACTTCCAGATCCCAGTGTTTTATGACATATTCTGTTTTTCTCCTTCCCTACTGTTTTCACACCAAACTTAAACAAGAATTCTGGATAATTCAAAAGCTGGCTGAAAACATTACATTTTAGTTGATCCTATTAAAGCACGGCATAATTGGATGTATTAAAACCAGGAACTTTAGAAGAACATTAAAAAAGGAAGATGACACAAAAAACCTTGTTTTTTTGCACAGTGCCTTTAGAAATGGGAAAAAAGGATTAGAGGCTGTGGTAGAGAAGCTTAGGAAAAAGGAATGTCATGGCAAAATAGGAGCATTGGGAAGAGAATTGGGGTAATAAACATTTTTTGAACGCTCTCACAAATTATATTTGCATGAATATCTTGATCTAATGTAAAATTATTTGAATAATTTTTTTTTCATGTTTCATCCTAAAAGGTATTGTGCTTTGACCCAAAATAATACAAAATCCAGCAGTTTATATTGTGGGAAGTTATCATCCAGCCCTCTCCCAGAAAAATGAAATATCCTAGGAAATATTGAAAAGGCAGAATATTTCTCTGGATATGAAAAGAAACATGTTTTAAAAGATAGAATAGTTGCATGTAGCTTTCTGCCCATCCCCCCTTTTGTCAATGGGCCATTGAGAAGGCCAAGCTAGTCCACTTTTACATAATAAAGACTTCTCCACTGC